ACCAGCTAGTCCTGGCCAGCTAAGGGGAAACCAGCAGACTCAAGGACTCTCCCCCTCACCGAATGTCAAAAAAAATAAAAGCTCATTTTGGGTGCAAAAGTTTTTAAAATCGACTTTTTTTTTTCCATAACAGGTATTTTGCGAACTTTTGAAGATTCCTAAAAACATGAATTCCAAGGTCTCGTGCACTAAAATAATCTTTTTCTTTTTTAAACATGTATTCATTTTTATTGAAAAGATCTTCCATCCACTGGTTCATGCCCCAAAGAGATGCAACGGTTGGAGCTGAGCTGAGCCAATCGGAAGCCAAGAGCTTCTTCTGGGTCTTCCACTTGGTACAGGATAACATGGCTTTGGGGCCACTCTCTGCTACTTTCCCAAGCCTCAGGCAAGCAGCTGGATGGGAAGTGGAGCAGCACGAACAAATGGGAAGTCGGCACTAGCAGGCCAAGAATCAGCCAACTGAGCCATCGCACCACATCCCAATCAACTTTTTAAGTTGTTTTTCATTAACTTTTAAAAGTGCCCACCTATGACTTCAACACTATTTTGTAAATGTATTTGAAAAAATTGTAACACTAGAGTTCTCCAATTTCAAACAATTGCCTTTTAACTCCAAAACTGGTGCTCTTTCCATTTTCCAAACAGGGGCCAGGCAAAGGAGCCATCATCACACTACGAAGATGCCATCCCCCAACTCACTCCCGGCAGAAAACGGACTCAATTCTTAAAGTACCTATACAACAAATAACGCACTTGGGATTTCACACCCAGCCCAGAACTGCCAATGCCGAGACTAGCCGAACTCGGGGCCAGCACCTCTACATTACTGCACGAAGCCGCAGCACCCCTGCCCAGCTGCCCAGGTACAGAACCAGAAACGCCTGGCCCAGAGGGTCCGGTGCCCACCGCCACGGCATCAGTCCCGCCCGAGGAGCAGCAGGCTCACGTGGCGCGCTCTCACATCACTGCCCAGGGCCACGCAGCACCCAAACATGCCGCGGGGGCCGGGAGTCCGCAGGTGGGTCCGGTGGCACCTGGGGGGCAGCGCCCGCTGCCAGCGCCCTCCGCGAGCCGCCCTGGCCAGCGGCGGGCTTCAGTCCTCACACCTGGGGAACGCACAGGGGCGAGACGGACGCGTCCTCCCTCCAGCTGCAAGCAGCCAGGCCAGGGGACGGACAGAGCCTCCCTCGCGGGCCGAGAGCACCTCCGGGGGACGCGCACCCCGTCCCCGTGGAAGTTGATCCCAGGCAGACATTTTTGTTTATGCCCGAGTTTCGGGCCGCAGCCGGAGGGAAGGCGGTTCTCGGGGAGGGCCCTCCTGCTCCCGGGCCCGCGGCCGGGCTCGGCAGGCTCCCGGGGCGCCATCGGGGGCCCGGCCCCGACCCCCCAAAACCTGCCGGGCCCCGCGCGCCCGCGCCCTCCCCGCCCCGCCGCCCGGGCCTGCCGAGGCCGCGCGTCCCCCTCGCCAGGCCTCCCGGCCCCCCGGCCCCCCGGCCCCGCCACGCCGGCCGCGCCACCGCCCCGGGGCGCCCGGCACTCACTCGGGGAGGTAGGTGGAGGAGAAGGAGCTCCACTTGTGCAGCGCGTAAGGCAGAAGCCGGCACTCGGGCGCCGCAGCCAGGGCCCCGCCGGCCGCCATCTTGTCAGCACCCAGCGGCCGCCGCCGCCCGCCGCGCCTGCGGGGCGTGGCCTGCTCTTAAAGGGGCCGCAGGCCGGCGGGCGTCCCAGGGCGCCCGCTGCTGGAGGACGGCGGTCCAGGGCGGGAGCACCTGGAGCGCCTGGAGGACGGCGGGGCCCAGGGCCGGGAGCGCCTGGAGGACGGCGGGGCCCAGGGCCGGGAGCCCCTGGAGGACGCGGCGGTCCAGGGCAGGAGCACCTGGAGCGCCTGGAGGACGGCGGTCCAGGGCCGGGAGCCCCTGGAGAACGCCGGGGTCCAGGGCGCCCACTGCTGGAGGACGCCGGGGCCCAAGGCGGGAGCGCCTGCAGGGGCGTGAGAAAGGACTTTATTTGAACAAGTGGCTGTGAGGAGAAAGCCAAGACTACTCTTAGGAGAAGAAACACGTTGCAGTTATGGACCAGAAAGGGAAAATGGCAAGACCAACGGGGATTCAAAAGGGACTGTTGCAATGTGAAAACAATCGCCTTGGCCAAGTCGCCAACTTCTTCAGGAAGTGAGACAGCCGGTGTCCGGAGACCCCAGTCCCCAGTCCTGCCTGGGTCCCCGCACACTCCCTCCGGTCGCCACCAGCATTTCTGGGGCTCCTGCTAATCTTGCGACACTGTTTACATCCACTCAGAGAGAGAAACCCCAGCGGAGTTGCCAAGCTCTGTGCCCTTGTTGCAGTTGGTAAATCGGCCAACGGCATTGCAGCCCAACAGCGCAGCAGGTGGAGGCGAAGAAGGCGCCTTGCCTTCGTTCAGGGCTCAGGGCTCGGGGCCCTGCGCTGGCTGGGCCTTCCAGGGCTTCCTCCTAGCTGCTTATCAAGAAAAAGGAACGCGAGGTCTTCGAATCTGGCAGCGTGCACGTGAGGGTATGCATATTTGTTTCTGAGCTTGGCTACAGAGAGAGCAGTGAAAAAAAGATTGTTCACAAAACAAAGAGACAGTAGTGGTGGAAGGGGTGATGGTCATCCATGGGAAGGGTGGGCACATCTGCCGTGAGCATGCCCAGTGATTCAGACCAGGGGAAGCAAGATAGGACATGTGATGGGGGAACCACACCTGCCGGGCCGGATGGGCATCTCAGAGAGAATGGAAATGCACCTGATGAAGCAGGCAGGTATCTCAGGCAGAGCTGAGTGTGCCCGACCGGGGCTTCCCAGCATCTTCTCCTGGACAAAGAGAAGCGTAATTCCTCCCAAGGCTTCATTAACCCAGTGTGAGCAGCCTGGTTGCTCCACGTGGCGCTGGGAAGAGAGGATTGTCCTGGGATGCTCTACTTGGAAGGTTGGAAACACCTGGAAAGCTGTTGGCGTGGTTGGCCCTGTGCAGGGTGCAGCTGCCTAGTGGGCAGTCTGTAAGCACTGTCATCCCACATGCGTGACGGTTCATGTTCTGGCCAGTCCGTTTCTGATCTAGCTCCCTGCTTATGGCCTAGGAAATCAGCAGAGGGTGGCATACATCCTTGGGCCAGGCATCACGTGTGAGACCCGGAAGAAGCTCCTGGCTCCCCAAATGAGCCCAGCTGTGGTCCTTGCGACCATTTGGGGGCTGGACCAGGGGACGTCTGTGAATGACTCAGTGAATCCTCCGCTTGCAGTCGCTCACCCTCCTGTCCCGTCCTGACTCCAGGGCCCCAGGGGGAGGCTGTGAGGGTCTAGGCTGCCAGAGGGAGGGAAAGTGTCTGCTCCTTGAGAGGGTGCTGGGAGCCTGCGCTGGGACCTGCCAGACACTGTGAGCAGCAGGCGTCAGTCCCAGAGATGCTAAGCGGTTATCTCTGGAGAAAAGAGGCAAGGATTAAGATGGAGACTCCCTTCAGTTAACTGGGGGTGCAGATTTGCTAATTACATCTGTTACCTGAATGTTCTTAAAGTTGTTATTCTCTGGAATGATAGTTATGGTTCATAAATGGTCTTTTAATGCATGCAAACCGGGTCTTCCTAAGTTTAAAAACCTTTCAGTGACTTTCCATTCTCTTTCTCTTTTTAAAGATTTATTTTTAATTTTTATTGTAAAGACAGATTTACAGAGAGGAAAGACAGAGAGAAAGATCTTCCATCCACTGGTTCAGTTCCCAGATGGCCACAATGATAAGCTTTGAGCCGTCCTCTACTGCTTTCCCAGCCATAAGCATGGAGCTAGGTGGGAAGTGGAGCAGCTGGGACACAAACTAGCACTCATATGTGATCCTGGCACTTGCAGGGGGAGGATTAGCCAATTGAGCCATTGTGCTGGCCCCCCTAGTCCCTTCCAATCTGCTTCCCAGAGGCCATCATCACCTTAATGGCCTCCCCAGGACCTGCTCTTTCTGCTCTCTCTCCTCTCTCTTCCCTTGCCCTGTATTTTCTGTCCTAGTCGTAGGCAGCAGCACACTAAGTTGGTTCCTATTGCTGCCTGTTGTCTCTGCTGCCAGCCTTAATCTAAGCCAAGCTTGGAATATTCTGTGCCATCTTTCACCTGAGCAATTCCTGCTCGTTCTTCAGATCTTTTTGTACTGGGACAGTCTTTTCCTATCATTTATTTTGACATTAGGTGGCATTCTGTAACATTTTCCTTAGCAACCTGAATTCCCCTCCTTAGCAAACATCAAAACAGACTTTAATTTCCATTTCCTCTCTATATTTCTCTTTCTCTCTCAGAGAAAACTCATGGGGATAGGAGGCATCTGTTCACAGCTGTCTGTGCTGCCTAGCACATAGCAGATGCTCAGTAAACAGTTCTTAATGAATGAATGAATGAATTCTGCTGAAGGAGAGCTTGAAGTGGAGGTATTTTCATTGCAAGTAAGCTCCAGCAGCCAGACCTTCCCAGAGGGACAACGAACATACATCCTTGTCACTGGATTGCCGCCGAGAATGAAAAGACCCAGGGCAGAGTTTTTCTGCAGCATGCATTTTACAAATGACCAAGCAACATAAAATAGTTCTATGTTAACATAAATGCAGAGATAATATGATACTGAATCCAACATTTGCATGAATGTTAAGCTAAAACAGAAAAGTAAAGGCATTTCCGATTCTGCAGAAGGCTACAGGTGGCTGCCTCTACCCTGGAGGGACACACCTTTATTTTCTCCTGCCTCTTGGGCAGGTCTGTGGCTGGTGGAGTTTATTCTAAGAATACACACGAAAGGCCTGGAAATAGTTCCCTCAGATGACAAAGACTGGCATGTGGCCAGCCCCTTGGCATTTCTCAGAGGTCAACACTGCTTGTGACGACCTGACAGCTCTCCCACCCGGCCATCACCCCTCACGTGCCTTTCAGTTGAGTCTCCCATGGAAGACATCCCAGAGAAGGTAACTGATGGTTTGTCTACTATCTACCATATTATCCTACAGAAAAGAAGTGCTGGGGACTCACGATGCACCAGACCCTGTCCTAGATTCTCAAGAAGACAAGGACACTCCCTGCTTCCTGGAGCTTCCACTGTAACAACGCGATAGGTAGCAAACACCCAGAGAGCTTAAGCTGATGCTGAGACCAAACCAGGGTAATTTTCAGATGGAATGGCAAAGAAGGCTTCCCTCAGAAGATAATATCTGAACCGATCCCTGTACCAAGAGGAAGAGCCGGTCATGCAAAGCCTGGCTCAGTAGTTCAGAGAACGGGACCCTGCCATCTCCGGGGACTGACTCCAGAAAACCGAGCTGGTGAGAAGAGCCAGCCCCATTGTCTGATGGCATCCCCTGTCTGCCGAAGTGAACTAATGAATGGGAGAAACTGGTAAACCGTGAGGTGTCGTTCAGATGCATCAAGCAGTAATAAGGTCACCAGAGTCAACAAGCAAAATAAATGCAACTGAGTTTATTTTTTTTCCAGACAAATGAACACACCATTTGGCTGTAGGCAAAAAGCATTCATTGTGAAGAAAGGGGTTTCACAGTTGTTATGCTAGCTAATCATAATAAAATATCCCAAACCGGGGAATTTATAAAAAGCAGACATCCGGTTCTCCAAGTTCTAGAGGTCAGGAGTGAGGCACCTGCAGGTTCGCTGTTTCCAAGACTGTGTGTTATTGCAGAGCCCCCAGAAAGGTCAGACACTGTGACCTGACATGGCAGGAGGAATGAAGGAAGAGGGGGAAGGGCTTGCTCATGCCCCCAGCCCTTGTCCAGAGTCACTGGTGAAGGCAGAGCTCCCATAGCCTCATGATCGGCCCTTTCCTACTGTTGCAGTGGGAATTGATTTCCACGTGAATTTGGGAGGGTGAAGGATTAGAGGAAAGCTCTGTAACTCAGCTGGAGTCAACCTGGGACTCTGCATGGGACTGGCTAAAATGAAAAATGTAATTCCTTGATCACGGGGCGGAGGGGCGGGAGGCATCTGCAAATAGGTCCCATGGGGGAGAAGGTGGGTCTCACTTTAGTGGGCCAAGATCACTTAGAGTTCCTGGTTTCGTTAACATTTTTAGATGGTCAGGGCAGGCAAAGCACAACGCAGAGTACTCAAGTACTACAGTTCCCTTAGCGGAGTGTGCAGGTTAGACACAGGACTGTGGCTCCTGACTCCGTCTCTTGCTTGTGCAGACCACAGGAGGCAGTGGGGAAGGCTCCCGTTTCCTGCCACTCACGCGGGTTGAGAGCCCAGATCTAGCTCCGGCCCCAAGGCAGCTATAACCATCTCCAGGGAATGGCAAATGGGAGCATGGCCTGTCTTTCTCTCTCTCTTGCTTTTAAATAAAAGAAAAGGAGTGTATTAAGGGCCATCGGAAGACTGGACAGAATTAAAGGCATGGGGATTGTTGATACTTTTTTTTGTTTGTTTGTTTTGGTCAGTAAATGAAGAAAATCACCACTAAGATTAGAAGAGTGAACAGGTTTCTGGTACAGTTCCCATAGAACATTTTCTTGCTTACCGGAAACTTGAACACAGTCATTGCATCAACCCCTGCAGGTCAAGGAGGGAGGTTCAGATTCACCAAACTTACACGGGCCCTCTCTTTCAGAAAATGCTCCGATGTCTGCATTCATTCCTAATGTCTCTCCGAGGCTCAGAATCTGGAAGGACAAGGAAAGGAGTGCCTGCTGAAGCTGACAGGTATGCCTCAACCTTCTTTCTGGCCTCTGGCGGTTCCCATTCCAAATGTGTGCTTTGAAATAATTTCTTCAGAACACAGCACTGCCACAAGCAGCGAGTGAAAAGAAAAAATAGGCAGACATGCTTTCTCCTCCCGGCTGGAGGAATTGCAGCCCCAAGGGCCTTTGCCGAACCGGCTGCAAGTGTGAAGCCACGGTCTGTCTTCTCCCAGGAGGTGGCAGCAGCAGCAGCCGCTGTGGTCTCAGCCTGCTGGAGAAAACACAGCTCATGCTCTTCCTGTTGGCATCCAAACCTAGAAATCCCTGCTTCCAGAATCCGCTCTATCCCTCCCCTGTTTGCTGAGCTTGGTTGGAGCCATAGCACTGAGAGTGCCAGCGCTGGCAATGACATCTCTCTGTGAGTGCCTGTCTTTCTGTGAACACTTCAGTCAGAACCATGACCTTGAACCCTGTATGCAGGAAGATTAAGAAGTATCTAGAGGAGGGTGGGGGGGAAGAACTTCAAAAACAAACAATAGCTGCAACAATTATACCCACACAGTGTAAATGCAGGAAGGCCAGCTCCCAGTCCAGACCTGGTACTCCTAGGCCTGGCCAGCTGACCTTGGCAATGAGCGTGGAGGCTGGCTCCCGGTGAGGTGCCACACTGAGAAGCAGGTTCCAGACCTGGTACTCCTAGGCCTGGCCAGCCGACCTTGGCAGTGAGCATGGAGGCTGGCTCCCGGTGAGGTGCCACACTGAGAAGCAGGTTCCAGACCTGGTACTCCTAGGCCTGGCCAGCCGACCTTGGCAGTGAGCGTGGAGGCTGGCTCCCGGTGAGGTGCCACACTGAGAAGCAGATTCCAGACCTGGTACTCCTAGGCCTGGCCAGCTGACCTTGGCAGTGAGCGTGGACTGGGGGAATCCGAGGTGTCTGCTACTTCTTAAAAAAAAAAAGTATTGTAAATCATAAGTTTTGTTCAGAGGCTATTATGTAGTATCTAGCAAGGGTTTTTATTTTTGTCTTAAGATCTATTTTTGTTTGAAAGGCAGAGTTAGTTACAGAGAGCTAGTCCATCTACTGGTTCGCTGTTCAAATGGTCCAAAGCCAGGAGCCAGGAGCTGTGGGTGCAGGATCCCAAGGCCCTGGGCCATCGTCTTCCGCTTTGCCAGGCTAGGAGCACGGAGCCGGATCAGAAGTGGAGCAGCTGGACGTGAGCCAGCACCATGTGGAATGCTGGTGCCACGTAGGAAGCAGTGTTCTTTACCCACTGTACTATAGCCACAGCCCCTACTTCTTACTTTAAAAAATATTTTATTTATTTGAAAAGTCGCGTTACAAAGAGAGGGAGAGGGAGAAAGGGTGGGAAAGAGAGATGCCTTCTGTCTTCTGCTTTACTCCTCAGTTACCATAGCTGGGCCTGGGGCTGGGGTTGGGGCTGAGCCAGGTTAAAGCCATGAGTCGGGAATTCCATTTGGGTCTCCTGCATGGGTTGCAGGGATCCAGTACTTGAGCCATCTTGGAGCCAGATCAGCAATGGAGGTGCTGGGAGCAACTTGCACGCATACGGCAAGCTGGTTTTGCAGTAGCAGATTAACCCACTGTACAACAATACCGGCCCTGTCTGCTAATTCTTAAATTATGAAGTAGTGGGTTTTTATTCTCTGGATTAAGTAGGGCTGGACCTTCACTCATGCAATATTTTTAAAATCTCAGGCACAACAAAGAACTAGTGATTCCAAGCTAATCCCAGTTGAGCACATATCCCAATTTGGCAGACAGTGTCTGCTGCATTGGAGGTGGGCAGGGACCCAGGAAATGTCTGGACACCACACAGCTAGGGACAGTCAGCTGCTAGGGGGTGCTTTGCAAACTGCCACATCTATACCAAACTGACAAAATGATATTTCAATAAAGCGATTAACACTGATTCCTAGTGAATTTGGAACCAACCTACTTTGGGGGAAGCAGAAAAGTGGCTCAGGAGCTGCCAGACCTCTGGGTAGAAGGCTCGGGGTGAAGGGGATTCTTCCATCAGGAGCTCACCATGCTGTCTCCCTCTGCCTCAGCCAGAAGGTCAGCCTGGGCTTTGGGAAGGCAGAGGCAGAACCAGTGAGTTCTGCCCACTTGCCACCTCCTGCTCGCTCCAGCCCACCTCGTTTGGATTGGTTAAGCATTCATGTGTTCACTCGGCAAACGGCTGCTGGTCACCTGCCACGTAGAAGATGCTGGGAACACACCTGGCTGTTGAGGAGCTCCAGAGCAGGAAGTCCGATGTTAGGTGGATCAGTACACGGAGCATTCAGAAAGGTTTGCACAGAAAATAATGAGAGTGGTGGTAGCACAGTCTTCACAAGACCACAGGGCAAATGTATTTCCTGGTGAAAATTATCCCTAGAATACGGTAGAATCATCTAGCAATCCGGAGTCCTCCAGGCTTTGGGCCGTCCTCCATTGCTTCCCAGGCCACAAGCAGGGAGCTGAATGGAGAGTGGAGTAGCTGGGACACGAACCAGTGCCCATGTGGGATCCTAGTGCAAGCAAGGCAAGGACTTCAGCCACTAGGCTACAGAACCAGGACTCCCATGGGGAAGTCTTAAAAAGCCCCACACAGCACCTGAAACCAGTAACGGGTAAGGGGTGACCTCAGAAGATGTCTCTGTACAACCAAGGTTGAAGACTCCCTCCCGCCTCCTGAAGTCTTGGCGTGCTTGGGAAGCAGAAAACGGTTAGTGATGACAGCTGAACTCACCTGTCTCCTTTGGAATTGCTCCTGAGAAGTCAGCATCAAGAAGCCACTCACGACAGCCAGCTGGGACAGGCACTCTGTAAGGTTTTTATTTTGACTTTCCCACTTTATCTGCTACATCTGCAATTAAAGTGACTGTGTAAACAAGCATCAACAGTAGTTGCTGTGATCTGGACATTAGTATGTTCCCCTAAAGGTCCATGTGTTAAGTAAAGGTTTGGTCCCCAGAGTCTTAAATTAGTGGTGGAAGCTGACTCCTCCTATTTGGCGGTGCTGTCTTTGGGAGGTGGTTGAACTGCAGTGGGTCATTAGGGTGGGACCCACGATTAGTTACTGGGGCTGAGACCAAACAGACATGTGGACACAGGCCTCCCCTCTTGCCATCTGATGCTCTGCACAAGCTCAGGACTGGTGGCAAGCACCCATCACCAGGACCTGAGCCAACAGCGCCTACCCAATCTTGGCCTGTGAACCTCCAAACCACGAGCCAAAGTAAACCTCTTCACTGTTAGATAGTTCATGATAGCAACAGAAAGCTGACAAATACAGCCGTCCACTAGCATTCCAGAGAGTTGGCAGCAGGTGACGGCAGCAGACGTGCCCTGCTCCTGAGATCCCGCAGGGACCATTAAAGAAAGGTACACGTTCTGATTAAAACCTTCCAGGGCCTCAGCATGATGGCTCAGTGGCTAAATCGTCGCCTTGCACATGCCAGGATCCCATATGGGCACTGGTTGGTGTCCCAGCTGCTCTACTTCCCATCCAGCTCCCTGCTTGTGACCTGGGAAAGCAGTCGAGGACGGCCCAAAGCCTTGGGACCCTGCACCCACATGGGAGACCCTGAGGAAGCTCCTGGCTCCTGCCTTTGGAGCAGCACAGCTCTGGCTGTTGCAGCCACTTGGAGAGTGAACCAGAAGTTGAAAGATCTTTCTCTCTGTCTTTCCTCTTCTCTGTGTATCTGCCTTTCCAATAAAGATAAATATTTTTTAAAATCTTCCAAATTACTCAATTTTCCCCTTTCTCCTCTTTTTAAATTTCTTTTCCTCCTTTGCTTCCACTTTCTACCTTCATGTCTCCTCTTCCTGCTCTTCGTCAGCAGTCACCCTGCCTCACTTCTCCTACCCCATCTCTTACTATCCTGTCCCCTCATGCCGTCTGCATTCTTCTCCTTTTCTTGTACTCTGAGCTCTTCCTTCTACCCATAATGCACCTCTGTCCTCTAGGTCATTAACTTCTCTCCTTGCAGCTCCTTTATTACAGAGCAAACACATTGTCCGATATTTATAGCTAATAAGATGTTTTGTTAACTTAAAAAATAGATAAATACTAAAAATACCTTTCTCTATGTAGGGAAAAAAATAAAACTAGCTCAGGCAGAGCATCAGTGAAAGGCCACCGGGGCCTGCATTGTGGGTTAGCATGTTAAGACACTGCCTGCAATGTTCCATGTGGGCCCTTGTTTGTGTCCCAGATGCTCCACTTCTGATCCAGTTCCCTGCTACTGTGACTGAGAAAGCAGTGGAAGATGATTCATGTCTGTAGGCCTCTGCCACCCAAGTGGGAGATCTGGAAGAAGCTCCCAGACCCTGGCTTCACGTTGGCCCTGAGACTGGGGCCATTTAGGGAGTGAACCAGCAGATGGAAGATCTCTCTCCCTCTATCTCTATAACTCTGCCTTTCAAATCAATCAATAAATCTTTAAAGATTTAATGATCATGTATCATAATTCTTTCTTATATCTTGCTGTATTGGATAGTTCCAAATGATTTTCTTCATGTAGTTCATAGGAAATAGCTCTGTGTTCGTCAGTAATCCTGACAAGAGCAGCTGACATCAATGTAAAAAGATAAACAAGCTAAAAACAGGAGTTGAGTCTGTACACCCTGAATTGCATATTCAGTTGCAAAATCATCATCATTATTACTGTAATTACGGAGGGGGAGGCATTTCAATAATTGTTCAAAGTGTCTTCTTGAGGAAACAACTAAATCAGGACCAGCTGTCACAAACCAGTCTATAATAATGATCCCCGTATGTGCATTTTCAGTATTCGTAGCAATTCTACAATAACAAATTTGTGTATTCATCCAATGTCCTCAAGCAACCTAAAAAACAACAACCCTCTGACGAGATCCAATGTCTCACTTGGTCACTGACCTGTGTTTTGAACTAGTGTCCCTGTACAACCTTAGACTCCTAAGCCACCAAACAAAAAAATGGTGCCACTCCAGTTTAACCACAGACTAGGGACGGGTGCCCCAGCACCCGCCGT